GTCTGTCCTACAGGAAGGCAAACGACTAATGCTCTTTGCTTTGCCTTAGAAAACTAACTAGTACATTTCTAAAGTCTAAAAAACTAAGTTGTACCAGGATATAACAAATAACAATCCTAATGCCCTAAATGTGATATTTTATTTTATGTTGTTTTAAAATAACTTCATTCCTCTTGAGGGTTTCATGTTTCTGTGAAGCTTCTGACAAAAACGAATTTTCTATATAGTATAGTCAAAGTGTCCAGAAAGATTGGGCTCAGAATTGGTAAAGATCTCATATAATGGAATTATTCCTTGGAATAAAAGCCCCACACTTTGCTCTAACAGGATGTGTGGTATTATATACAGCAGAAGTAAGTGTACACTTACTAGTATATTGTTCAAAAGCAGAAGTTCTAGACCTGGGAGCTTTCGCCTTATATTTTCAAACTAAAAAATATTTTATTCTGTTAGGTACAAAATGGCATTGTTATCTCCATTTATAACAGCTGGGGACACAAAGTTTTTCACATTTGGTGTGGTTTCCTCTGCTGAATAGCCATGGCATATTGGAAATATTTCTGCTCCTGTCTTGGCTGTATGACATCTTTCCAAACCAAATTCCCCGTCACTTACCGTTCATTGTCATCACCGGTTTCACGGATGGTTAAATCTTTCCTGTAAGGACTTTCCTTCATTGCTAGACCTTCCTAAATGTTACTCAGTTCTTACAGTTTTTGTTATGGAGATCTTGCATACTTTTATTTTATTTCTTCCTAGGTACCTTCATGGTTTTCATAGGGTATCTCTTTAGTCTCTTACTATTATTTGGAATTTAAGTTACTCTTCACTGAAATTTTATCCAGTGACTGAGGTAAAAACTCTTATTCTTTCTAGAAACTTATGTTAGTTCTTTTAGTCCCATGGTTCTCAACCTTCCTAGTACAGTTCTAATGTGGTTGTGGTCCCCAACCATAAAATTATTTTTGTAGCTACTTCATAACTAGAGTTTTGCAGTAGTTCTGAATTGTAATGTAGATCTGTTTTCCAATGGTCTTAGGTGACCACTGTGAAAGGGTCATTCAGTCTCCCGCGAAGGGATTACAACCCACAGGTTGAGAACCGCTGTTTTAGGTGATCATATCTGCTATGAATGATTCTTTTTTCCTCCCAGAGATAATACTGTTTTGTGGCTTTATTTTCCTTTACTCTTGGCTGCAGCCTCTGCTTGCCACACTAGTAATGGAAGATAGAAGGAGTCATGTTTCAACAGTCCTGTGGCTCATGGCTAACGCTCAAGTGTCAGTGATTTCCCATTTTCTGTTCCCTGCGGGGTCTTAATGAGGCATCTGTGCCACTTTTCTTGTTAAAGAACTTCCTTCTCGTCCATGGGCTGCTGTGAAGTTTTGGGGTGAGTTAATAGTTACTGCACTTGGCGAAAAGGACCATTTTTCTGAGCATGTTACTATGGCGCTCACACTGCTAGGTTTTCTAAGATTAAGTCATCCATACACTTTCAACACTTGAGAGGAGGTGGGCCAGTCAAGGGAGTTAGGGGAGGGGCAGATTATGATCTTTGAACTCATAAAATAGAACCCTGGTGCCAATTCATGTTGTTGCACTCTCTGCAAAATGATCAGCTTTGCAAGACAACTTGCTCCCTGGCATGATGCAGTCTCATCACAGAACCCAACAGGGAGGAGCCTTACAAGTTGTTAACCTCGGGCATTTTACCCCCAACAATAGGGTGCTATCATAATACACATGGGTAGGTGTAGCTGGAGAATTTTCTCTCTGGGTCCTGCCAAGCCCTGGCAGTCCGACAGCCCACTTATAAAATAAACACATAGACACTTATATTATTTACAAACTATATGGCTGTGGCAGGCACCTTGCTAACTCTTCTTATATCTTAAATTAACCCATTTCTATAAATCTATACCTTCCATGTGGCTCATGGCTTACTGGCATCTTCACATGCTGCTTGTCATGGCGGCAGCTGACAGTGTCTCCCTGACTCAGCCTTCTACTTTCCAGAATTCTCCTCTCTCCTTGTCCCGCCTACTTCCTGCCCGGCCACTGGCCAATCAGTGTTTTATTTATACAGAATGATATCCACATCAGGTAGGTAGACATCTTTTCAAGACTCTGTCCTTAGTTCTTTTAGGTATAAAACCAGAAATGGAGTTGCTAGTAGTGTGGTCCTTTTGTTTTTGGCAATTTTTTTTCTCATTTTTTGAATTCCCACAATGTATGATTTCTTGAGATAGACAATATATGCCATCAATTCCAGTAATTCAAAAAAGAAGTGATGTAATTTAAGCACATGAAATGAGTTATTACATGCTTTATGAGAGGGTTTTTTTTAATTGTTTAAAAGCCTAAACTGTACTCATAAGAATGGGATTTTTGATCTGTGTATATGCGGTAATGTTGAGATCAGGTTAAGTGTTTCTCTTCAAGAGGGTGTTCGTTTTTATGTCTGTGCTTCTTTTGCCTGCATTTGTGTCTGTGTACTGCTTGCATGCCAGAAGATGGCAGTAGATTCCTTAGAACTGAAGTTAGATAGCTGTGAGCCACCATGTCAGTGCTGGGAACCAGACCTGGGTCTTCTGAAAAAGCAGTCAGTCAACCACTAGGCCACTGCTCCAGCCCCAGGTGTATAGTTTCTTTATGGTAAAAGTCTTCACAGCCCTTTCTCTCGGGCTTTTGGAAATACACAGTACATTGTTGTTTTCTGTAGCTGCCCCAGTATGGAGGTACAGAACTTAAGGCATATTGATTGTGTGTGTATATAAATTTACTGATCATGTCTGTTCTTCATTCTCTTCATTTCTCGACCCCCACCCCCACCCTATGCCTTCTTTCAGTAACACATAGTTGTTTGTGTACTTCTGGGTCTTTTGTTTCCATGTGACAGAAAGAATGCACTGCTAGTTTTGCATGATGCTTTCTAGATCCATTTTGCCACAGATTATAGGTGACATGATTTTATTCTTTTTATGGCTAAATAGTATTCAGCTGTATATATAAACCACATTTCTTTTCCCAGAATGGGACGATCTATTGATGAGAGATACTTAAATCACTGTTAATTGTATTTGGACATGTCTATGTCCCTTTATGTTAAGTAGTAGTTTACCTTGCTGAGGATAGAGAGGATAGGAATGCCTTACTTTGTTCTTAGGCTTCTCATTTTGAGATTCACTCATTTGAGATTAGGATCTGGGGTGTCATTTTCTTTCTTAGATCCAGGTAAACCAAGCCAAAAATGACTACATGCAGGCTGAGTTCCATCCTGCTACTAACAGGTAAACCAAGCCAAAAATGACTACATGCAGGCTGAGTTCCATCCTGCTACTAACAAACCTTCTGTAAAGGAAACTGAAGGCAAATCCATTCACAGTAATTATAAAATAAATAAAATACCTTGAATAAATTCACCTGAGGCTCTGGTGACAGACCTCTACTATGTAAGTTATAAAACACTGGTGAATGTCATTGGAGAAGTCCCCAGATGGAAAGACTTCCCATGTTTATGATTAGAAGGACTAATATTGTTAAATGTCCATATCAGGCCAAAAAAATTAGTAGAGTCAGTCCAATCATTTTGTAAATACCAGGAACATTCTATAGAGAACTAGAAAAATCACAAAATTCATATAGAACTACAAAAAAAATCTGCAAATAGCCAACAACAGTGAAAACACTTGGAAGGATTGCAGGACATTGGGTGACAATGATGGAAACCTGGTGGCCCCAGAAATAAAGGCACATACTCCACCCAGCTGATTCTACACACATGTTCCAAAAACATACATTGGCCTAAGGACAGCCTCCTTATTTCCATTGCTAGTAAACTGTATTTTAATGCAGAAGATTGAAATTTGACTCTGTTTCAGCCTCCACCAGTCAGCTCAGAAGTGTATCAAGACCAGAATGTAAGCTATAGAACTGCTACAGGCAACGTAAGATGGCAGAGCAAGGAATGATTTTCTTGACAGCACCTGTAATGCACAGAAAAGAAAAGCTGACCGATGGGGGAATCACACCAACTAAAGTGTTTGTGTGGAACAACAAGAGTAGACGACTAGAGAGACAGCTTACAGATTTTAGATAAATATGCTTGCCAGCTATTCATCTGTAAAGTGTTAATATCAAGAATATATAAGAGCTGGGTAGTGGTGAAGCACTCCTTTAATCCCAACACTAAAGAGCCAGAGGCTGGTCGATCTCTGAGTTCAAGGCCTGCCTGGAGACAGAAACAATGTCTCAATAAATAAATAAATAAATAAATAAATAAATAAATAAACCACCAATAAATAATACATAAGAAAAATTTAAAAACATTGAAAGTCATCAGAACCACAAGATGCCATCATACTCTTCTCAAAAACCAAACAAAAGATGTGTGTCAAGAATATGCGGAAAGGCCCAGCACTCGGGAGGCAGAGCCAGGCGGATCTCTGTGAGTTTGAGGACCTCCTGGTCTACAGAGCGAGATCCAGGACAGGCACCAAAACTACACGGAGAAACCCTGTCTCCAAAAAAAAAAAAAGAATTTGGGGAAAAGAACCCTTTATATACTGGTGGAGGAAAGTAAATTAGGATAGTCATTATGGAGAGGAGTTGAGGTTACTCCAAAAATTCAAATCCAAACTACTATTTGATCCATCAATGTATACACTTCTGGGTGTATATCTAAAGGAAACGAGTGTGCTAAAGAAATCCATGCACTCCTACATTCATCGCAGTGCCATTCAGCCAAAGGCACCAAACTAAAGGAGACTGAATTGTAACTACCCTGATTGGATTGGTACACATTGTATACATGTTGTGAAATACACTGTGCCCCAGAAATGTGTAAATTGTTACCTGTGCATAATTCAAAAAATGCTTCAGTGGACAACAGTTCAGGATAAAAAAAAATAAGTGAGGGGCATTTGGACATGGAGTGTACAGTGAATGAGTCTGCCCTGAGCAACTGTACTAAAAGCAAATTGTATTTGGAGTTTTTTAAATACCTAAATAAAGATACTTTATTTTAAATGTGATTGTCAGACAACTACAGTTTATCAGAATACCAGGAGGTACTTACTATACACTGTCCAGTGTAGTATTTCTTTAGTCTTCCTTAATTAGGAGTAAATAATATATACACAAGTCATTGTAGTCAGAATACACAGTCTCTTGGCTTTAACTGAAAATGGGCTTGAAGGGCCATTTGCTCAGAAAAGGAAGTCCTTTATGGTTTCATTCAAAACATGGAACTGGGTGATAAGCTAGTGAACGGCCGTTTCACGTAAGTATTTTCATAGTAATCCTCATACGGTGCTTCCATTGGTGTCTGTGACCCATCTCCATAGTTGCCAACTAGGCTTTTCTGTATTCTTTCAAGCTTGACATCTACAGAGAAATGACAGGTGGTTAGAACAGGGCCCTGCCCGGTAGTCCTTTCTTTCACACTTTGAGCACATGTCTGTATTGCTGTTTAACAGAAACTCTCAATGCTCTGGTCTTCTATTCATTCTGTTTTAACCATTGTCCAGCTCTACATAGGTCGCTGTATGGCCCAGCTTCTAGGTGTGACCTCCTAATAACTACCTGTGTAGTTTGGGGCAGTCATCTATGTTCTGTAAGCCCAAGTCTTCATCTGTAAAATTTAAGACTGTGGTAGCACCTGCCTCATGGTGTGTGTATACCTGAAGAAGGCCAGAGAATGTTGTGAGGTGACCTTTCCATCACATTGCCTTATTGTCTTGAGTCAGGATCTCTCAGTGAACACAGAACACCAGGGATCCATGTGTGTCCACTCCCTAATGCTGAGGTTACAGGTACCCACAGGCTGTGTCTGGCCTTTCTTGTGCTAGGGTCTTTAAGCTTGGATAGCAAGTGGTCTTAGCCACTAAGCCATTGCCTAGGCTCTTCCTGGTTTTGTGAGTTAAATGAGATAGTCCATGGTGCTTGGAAGTAAGTGCTTTGTAATTAACTATAGTCATTTCTATATTCCCAAATGAACTACCTTTCCCCTCTATGGATCTGCTCAGGAAACCCACCCTACCTGACCCCCGTGCACACACATGCACACCCTGTCTCTGTTTTGTGTTTTTGAGACAGGGTCTTTCTATTATGTAATCCTGACTGTCCTGGGAATTTACTATGTTGATCAGGCTGTCCTTGAACTCAGAGATATGCCTGCCTTCCTCATGTACCCTGGCTTTCCCTAGCTTCTTGAAGGGTAGCACACATTCTCACAGTGCCACCATCTTTCTTCAATATTTAAGATCATTTTCACTTAACCTTTATCGTATCATAGCTGGAAGGAACATACCTTTTTTACCATAACCTTTCAGAACTTAGTCATTTATATTGTTTCCTTTTTTTGCATCTACCATTTTTGTTCTTTTATCTATCAGTAAACCACTTATGTGTGTACTTCTTGGAATTTCTGTGGCAAAGCTTTAACCTCCTTGCCCTTAACTCTCTTTACTTTAAAGAGAGTTACCAAAATTGTTCTATAGAAGGTCATTGTAATCGTTAGTCTTGGCTGTCAACTTGACTCAATTGGAATCAGCTAAAAGGCTAGCAACCTCATGAGGAGTTTGCTTGATCAGGTTAAATGAAGTGGGAAGGCCTCCCCTCAATATGGGTGGCACCTTTCAGTGGCAACCCAAATCAAAGAAGATGGAAAGCAAGGGCTTGCTCTGCCTGCTTGCCTTCACTTTAATGGCAAGTTCATCTATGCTGTCGCTGCATTCTTTCAGACCAGCAGCTTCCCAGGGACCCTCCCAGCTTTCAGTGCTGATGATGAACCTAGTGCCCATGGAGTGAGCAACCACGGGATTCTCAGGCTGTTCTGAGGTAGCCGTTGTTGAACTATTCCGATCACACCATATAAGTCAACCTAATAGATCAGCATTGACTCCACTAAATCCCCAACGCAAAAACTACTTGTTTGAGGAACAGGCATGGGGTCTAAAAAATGAAGAGTATGAGTGAAAAGTGGAACATGTTCATGTAGGTACAGCCAGAGGCCATGGCCAACTGAGTTTGTATGTGGAAAATTGTATTTGAGGCAGCAGACTATATGACAGTGTTTCAGCTGTGAATTCTTAACCTGCTGCAGTTCAAATCCTAACACAGACTGACCATCAGCTACTCATAGCATCTCTCCTTCCTCAGAAAATGCAGATAATGGAACTTGTTTCATATATTTGTTTCAAAAATCAAGTTAAGTTCATTCTTCATTATAATTGCTAAGAGTTCACATTATCTGTTGTGGGTAGAATGGACGTGGGGAATATCAGCACAGAAACCATTGAAGAAGTTATGAAAGGCAATCAACATATTGGATTTGAGGGGTAGCGGTGAGATGGGAGTAAGTGAACAACTAATAAAAATGATAGCTCATATTGATGGGGTAATATGTGTTGGGCAGCAGCCTAAGCTCTGTTAAGTGTCAAGCACTATTCTAAGCTTGCTGTTGTGTGTGTCACAACAATAGCAGCACAAGAATTCAAACCCAGGCTCCACAGTCTAACCTCTCTGCCCGACTGCTTCTCATAGAAGGTAGCAAAGTTACACTCTGATCACAGGTAAGCACAGTCTTTGGCTATCGTGCTGGTTGGTTTTGTCTACTTGACACAAACATAGACGTGGGCAGAAAGACTCCTAGTTGAGAAATGCCTCTGTAAGACTGGCCTGTAAGCAGCCTGAACTATTGCTTTGACCAGTGATGGGTGATGCCTCGAGGGCCCACCTCTTGTGGGCATTGCCACCCCTGGGCAGGTAGTCCTGGGTGGTATAAGAAAGCAGGCTGGGCAAGCCATGGAGAGCAAGCCAGTCAGCAGCACCCCTCCATGGCCTCTGCATCAGTTCTTGCCCTGACTTCTTGGATGATGGTAATGTGGGAGTTTAAGTGAAATAGGCCTTTTCCTCCCCAAGTTGTTTTTGGTCCTGGTGTTTTATCACAGGATAGAAACCCCAAGACAGCTATGTTAGAGTCATTGGTATTTCTGTGGCATAATGATAGTTTTTCCAGTGTGCAATTACTAGAAGGGCAGTAGTGGCATAGACCTTAAAAAACATTTCCAGCATTTGGAGGCATTCATTTTGCCAAATTAAGTTTGCTCACTGGAGATCATTACTGAAACCATGAGCTATGCAACTTTTTTTTTATCCAGTCTTAAATAAAATAGAAAATCTATTTTCCAATGACAGTCCTACATATAAAGATAGAAATGACCTGACATAGTCATTTATATCCACGTGTGCACACACACATTCTTCAGAATAATGAAAGGTTAGACATATATACAGATGTGAAGAATATTGTTTACACCCATACAGATTTTTCCATAAGTATTGCTAAAAGCCACCAACCTTGGACTGGAGAGATGGCTTAGTGGTTGAGAGTATTGGCTGTTATTCCAGAGGACCCATGTTCAGTTCCCAGCACCCATGTGTTGGCACACAACTGTCTGTAACTCCAGTTCCAGGGGATCTGATGTCCTCTGCCTGCCTCCACAAGCACCAGGCATGGGTATACTTACATGGGGGCAAAATACTCACACACACACAAAAAAATAATCACCTACCTCTTAAGTTAGCTGAAGAGTTACTTGTAGCAGTTTCTTTCCATTTAGCAATATACCTGCAATATATTATATGGGCATTAAAGTGACTTATTACTAAATAACAAGTTAGTTCATTAACACATATTTAATGGTGATGTCTTCACTAGTCTCAGTGTTTGATTTCCATGACTTTACCATCTCCTAGTACTCACATATGCTTATAAGACAATCTCCAGGGCAAGGAGTTACAAGAGGTTGAAATGGAACCTGCCAGCCATGGTGGCGCACACCTTTAATTCCAGCACTCTGGAGACACAGATCAGATCTCTGAGTTCTAAGAGGGCTGGGTGACATGGTAAGACCTTGTCTCAAAATAAAGTAATAAGGCCTTTAAAAAATTAATCTGTAATTATCCAGATTTTCGAAGGTCTTTCTTACTTAACAATTTTCCTATAGGAAGAAATGACAGATTCAAAATTTTTCTCACAGAATGTGTCATTAAACCAGTTATAAATAAAGATAATAATAATGGAGACTGGATGCCATAAAAGCCAAGGGAAGTAGCTGCTTATCCCTGCCTAGGATCAAGCTGCTGCAAAGCCTCATTCTGCATCAGATAATTGTGCCTGTGGTCAGAAGCACGACTGGTATATTCCCAGTAATCACTCACCTCACCCTAAGTTCTTGTCAGGGTTCAGTGAAAACACTTGGCTTTTTATGGACTTAACTGGAATGAACGGAAAGAAGTACGTAATTTGGAAACATTTAAGGAAAAAAAAAAAAACGTGGTTCTTCAGTTACTCTCAGCCTTTCAAATCAAGGCCAACTCATCCCACTCCACACAGAATCTCACAGGAGTGACTGGCAGTGCAGAGGCTGGCCTACACCAGCATCTCCTCAGATGTGATGACAAAGGTCTCTCTGAATAATGGGGAGTTTCCCTTTGTCACCTTCTACTTCCTCTGGTCCCTTTCTCATATTCTGTCAATGACTGACACCTCGATTCTCTGTCCCCTTTTCTCCCCCTCTTTCTAATGTCTTCCATTTCTTTACCCTCCTTAGAATTCTTCTCTTTGCCCATGCACTATCCACGTTCCTTGTAGCTGAGTACACATTTAACAGCTTGGCTGAGGTGTAATTTGTTGGCTGTCTAATCCACTCATGTGAAGTGTATGGTCCAGAGATGGTTAGTATATTCAGAGTTGTGCATTCTTCACACAGTCAATTTTCAAACATTATCATCACACCCAGAAGACACTCAACATTCTGCAGCTATGGCCTCCCTGTAATCCCAATTCCACAGCCTCGGGTAACCACTACTAATATGTGTTGTCCCTAAATTTATTTATTCTGCATATATCACATTTATACTTATGCTGCTTTCCCTTGACAATTTCATTGACATCATGACACATCCCAGAATTTCACTGTTCTACTGCAGAATAATACTACGTTGTGTGGATGTACTAAGCTTGACTTGCCTAACCATCAACTGATGGACATTGGGATTGCCTCTAATTTTTTTCATTATAAAATGTTTCTGTGAACATTGGGGCTAGGTTTTGTGTGGACGTATATTTTCATTTTTTCTTTGTACACACTTTGGAGTAGAATGGCTGGATTTTAGAGCAACACTTGAGAAGTTACCAGCCATTTCCCAAAGTGGCGGAAACACGGCACGTTCCCGCCAGCCACATAGAGAGGCTCCACTCTTGGCACTGCCAACACTTGTTACTAGTCATGCTGGTCATTTGAAGTCCCCCCCCTCACTGCGCCGTCAACTGGCATTTACCTTATGACTGTATTGAACAGCCTAAATTCCCAACACGCAAAATTCTAAAAATACTTTTCAATGGCCATTTATGTTACTGATACAGTTTTTTAATATCTAGAAAGAATAGGTCATATAGATTGAAACTATTTGTTTACATAATCTTTGCATAATCAATCTTATGGTCTTAGCCTTGTTTCTGAATCCCAAAGTGAAACAGAGTAGAGTCAGTTAGACACAGCTGTTGTAATGTATTCTTCTGCCTTACTATAATTTTCTCAAACCCAGTTCTTCCCTTTTCTGTTTAGACAAATAAAACTGTTTTTAAAGGTTGTGTTGTTCATAACCCCAAGGTTCAACCTGGGAATGGGAAATTTTACAAAGGAAAAATAGAGGACTTTGTCCCGCTATGATGGCTCTGTACTCACTCATCAAAGTTGAGTGTGTTCGTCCAGTTCAGCACTTCGTCCACTTCCCATTCCATCACAGAATCTACCCCTCCATCTTCAATGCTCCTGATCAGTCCTTTTGTTGCTTTGTGAATTAGGCCTAGAGTTTCATTATCTGTCGCCTTGGCCTCCAGGCTGCCCATGTAGTACCTAAATAAAGGAAAAGGAGAGACACACATCCTTTGCAATAACCGATTAGAAGTAAACACAACTGATGGGTGGTGGTGTTTCTACATTAAAATTACAAGTTAAGTCAAGCTTTTGTTCTGTATACTTCTGAACTAAGACCCTTGTGATAGACTCTTCCTGGAGTGATTTAATCACTAACCAGGGAGACTTCATTTATTCACCTGCCCTAAGTTTCACCATAGAAAAATCTGAATCACATTCTGAGTAGAAGACTCTTAGAGACTAAGCCAGCTTCTTGTTTTACAGATGAAGAACTAAGTCCAGGAGGAATTGGGTAACTTCTACAACGTCATGAGGCTAATGGCAGTTAGGAAGGGAAAGGAGGTCTCTCCATCTTTGTGTCAGATACATTGCATACTTTTCTTTTAAAAGACAGCTATTTGTGGTGGTGGTTTCTGCTTTCTTATATAAAGAATTGAGACTTGGGGAAGTCAAGGAATTGTTCAAGATCGTGAAAGTAGTAAGAGTGGGGACCGCCAGCGTTTGACTCTGAGCAGACTTCTGTCTGATGCTATTTTAAGGTCAGTGTTCCCACCAAATACAAATAGGGAGATACTAGTAGTCCTTGCCAAGAACATGGAACACAGAAATCCATTGAGAAGACAGTTGTATCAGCAGCAGATTTTGTCATCATTAGTAGGTGATGCTACAAGAAATGCCTAGAGAAGGCCTGCCCCTGTAAACGATGCTTTGTCCCCAGAGTGCCTGAGGAGAGAGTCATCCCACTATGCTCCTCATCTGGATGGCTCCATTCTGCCACCCAACATGGTGGGCATCCAGGGTGTCCAGGAGTCACCTCTATAGCCGGGAAGTAGTTTGTTTCCATGGACAACTGGGAACCGAGCCAGGGTCCTTTGCCAGGCCAACATTCAAAGAGACGTGCAGGAGATGACTTTTTACTCCCAAAGCCAGTTTATAAAGTTAGCCCAACTGATCCACCAGGTGTGGACACAGAACCATGGGGAAAACAAAGTTAACATGAAGCTTCCAATGTGAACTCCAGCCACAGACTTCAAAAGAAAAGCATACTAATCAAATGCCTATTAGATGTTCTAACAAACTTAAGGAAACTCCATGAGATACAGAATTACAAAAAATTCAACAAAACTGGGGAAATTTATGAATGAAACTTTTAGCAGATACAGATGATGAAATAATATTTACAAGTAAGGGATTTACTAATTCAAATTAATCATGCAGTTGATAGCTTCACCATTACATTAAGTCAGGAGAAAAATATGAACAGAAAAATATATCTTTTGTAATATCTTAGATGGAAAAAAAGAATGAAGGAAAACTCTAAGATACAGTGACACTGTTGAAAAATTCTGAGTCAGTACAAGATGACAAGAAGTGGGAAGACAGAACCTTGCCAGTGAAATGTCTCTGACCTGGGGAAAGATGTGGATGTGCAGGCACAGAGGCCCAAGGGCCCTGAAAGAATGTGACACACTCATGCCTGTGATCCAAGCACTTGAGGATGCCATGAATTAAACAATTTGAACAAAGTTCATTAAGACGAATAAAGACTTTCTGAGACAAGAACTGAGGAAACTCACCTCGCCACTAGACCTGTCCTACAGTAAATGCTCAAAGAAGGCCTGTACCGTAAGTGAAAGGGCAGTATCTTTTCTAAATGCATTTCCTTGTGCAGTGTCCTAGTCACCTTTTAACTGTCCAGATCGGATTGGCCTATTGATATGTCTGTGGGAGATTGTCTTGACTGTTGTCGATGTAGGAAGACCCAGCTCGCCTGGTCAGCTCCAGTCTGGGTAGATGGTGCCGGGCTGCATAAGAAAGCTAGCGAAGGCTGAGCCAGCAAGCAGCGCTATTCCACATTTTCTGTTTCAAGTGGTGCATGACCTCCTGCCCTGGCTTCCCTCGGTGATGGACTGTAACCTGTGAGCTGAAATCAATCCTTCCTTCCCCTGAGCTGCTGTGGCCAGATCATTTTCTCACAGCAGCAGAGAATAAACCATACCCTTAGCTTTTATAGTGTGTGTGTGTGTGTGGGGGGGTCTATTTCTCAGTCCTATGGTCTGACCCAGTCATCTCTGTGCTGGTTACAATGTCTTGATTGTAGTTGCCTTGTAAGCTTTAAAATTAAAAATTAAGTAGGTCAAGTTCTCCAACTTTTCTCAAAAATACATTCTATTTCTTTAAAAAGACCAAGCCATCTACTTACATTTGCCTCATCCATTCTATCTTTTTAATTTTTCTTTTCTTTTCCATGTCTTGCTTTCTCTTCAGTTTAGAGAAATGGAATTCGCTTTCCTTTGTACTTTCCAACACTTCACTTTCAAGTGGTATCCAAAACTATGGTGGGGTGGAGATTGCAGAATTAAAATACTGATTGTGAAGAACTCTGGATATAGACAAGAACTTTGTGTTGGTGGGAATGCGCAAGAGAAGAGCAGAACAGAAGACAGGTCTTTCCAAGGGAGTTCCAATTAAGTTATGGGCAACAGATCATTTCAGAAGTTCCTGTTCCAGCAACACTGACAAACTACTTGTGTATTGAGGCGTTCCTTCAGCACCCAGTGAAATGAATGACTGGTAAACCTAAGCATGTCTGTCTGATCTCACCTGAACATATCTTGCCCCTCCTAGCACTACTGGCTTTTCGTGACTAACCCTCAAGGATTATATCCACTCAGAAAGGAGAAGTGCCTCTACTACCTCCCAAACTGTGGCTTCTTTGAATGGCATGCCCTCCTAGCTGGTTGTTTGTGTTCCCGATATATCCTCTCTTCCCACAATACAATCACTAGGTAATGGTTGCTACATTTCCAACAGTTCGTCCTGTACTTACTGTACTGCACTAAAGCATCCTGCCTACTTGGCTTAACTCTAGGTATAAGCATCCTCTGAGAGAGAAGCTGTGTCTTCTGACCACTGCATTCTTAATGGCTAGAACTACGCCTAGCACATGATAGGCATATAATAAAGTACTGAATGAGTGGATTCACACCTTGGTCATTTTAAACATCTCAAACATTTAGACATTCGGTATATGGGCATACCACATCCTATAATCTGTGTTTTGAGTATATCATTAGCAGAGAGAAAATAAAAATGGCCTAGTTTCAAACCTGATTATTAAAAATAAATGTAAGAGAAGCCTGCCCACTGACTCATGGTGAGCATCTATGTGGTGGATAGAAAGGAGAGAGAGAGAGAGAAGTGGAGCAGGTTGTGTGCCATGGAAAGAGGCAGAACTGGAGACATGATGGCAGCGAGAACCAGGCTAATGTGAGTGGCCTGAGCTGCCACCTGGGTCCATAGGATGTCCACACCATGCTGCCACCCCTGGCCATATGTGCACCCATGGTCCTGATGTGGATATATCTGTGTTGATGTCCATGGGGACTGGCAAAGGCCATGCAGATGTCTGTGGTAAAGGATGCTGCCGTAAACCATGTTGATATCCAAGGGCCATGCTGAGTTGCTCCACCCCAGCCAGGCACAAGTTGCAGGAGAGCTGGCTCTGTGGAGGCCTGGGCTGACCAACTCTGCCACCACCTGGGAACAGATCCAGGGCTTGGAGGTGGCTCACCCAGCAGCCACCCCATCTATGAGATGCTGGGACATGTGAGGGGCTAGTCCGGTGGAACCATAGCCGCAGAACATCCAAGAGGAGTCTCGGTGAGGGTCCAGTATTGATGGTATAGCAGAAGCCAGAGGTCTTGAACCAAACCAATGACTCATGGCAGTGAACATTGGCAAGTAAAGCTGTTTATTCAAAAGGGTTTACTGAATGACACACTGCAGCTCCCGGTGCCACTACAACAGATGAATATGCGATGGAGAGGCAGAAAGGATGGAGGAGCGGAGTGGTACCTGCAGGGCAGAACTGGAGATGAGACAGCCATGATGGGTGTGAGAGGAGGCTGACATTGAGAGAGTTGCAGGTCGTTGCCCAGAGGGGTCAGCAAGATGTTGTTTTTGAATTTAAATTTTTGTTTGAAGGGGGAGGTTACAGGGGTGGAGGGCAGATGTGGAAGGACTGGGAAATGAGTGGGATTGGGGTGCATGATATGAAATTCCCAGAGAACCAGTCAAAATATTAACGTAAAAAATAAATAAGTATATAAAAATAGTTTATGAGCTACTGATAGGGGTCACTGAGGAAAAA